TATATTTAATAAAATTAAAATTTTAGTAAAATATTGGTATAGAGAAAATTGGTAAAAATATTATCAAGTTAGTTTCATATAAAAGTAGTTAAAAGAAAGATTTTTTTTTCTTTCAAAATAGGAAATAATAAAAAAAAAAAACTTTGCAAGCTGAAAATTATATTAGGAAAAAATAAATACTTAAAATATTACTTTTGTTCTTCTTTTATTATAATATTAATTTGTAAAAATATATAAATAAATTTATAAAAAAATGTTTAGAAAAGTTTAAAAAAAATAAAATTTCTCATAAACCAAACACCCCATTAGGGGGCGAATGTGGTTGGGGAACCAATTACATTCATTTATTGTTACCTTCGGGTGGCCTATTGGCACACCCTCCTTCTTTTTTTTTCTGAAATTTTGCATTTTTTCACTTCTTAAAGGAATTTTTTTTAATGTATTAGATAATTAACTACTTAATATTACAGGAATTTGAATTTCTAATCTTTGATTACAAATCAAAATTTTAATGAGTATCAATTTAATCAAACTTTTGTTGAAATTTTTTAAATGAATTAAAATGTATAATATTCAACTAAGATTAAAAAATATAGCATTAGTAATTCTGGGTGTACTTAAATTTATATCAAGATACGAGATTTTATGTCTAGATGTCCATCTTAAATTATTTCTCTATGAGTTTTCTTAACATATAGCCTTATACCCTATATTTTCTTTCCACCATCTAGTTTGGGCTACTGGGTCTCATTGGTTGGTGAATCTCGTAATTAAGATGCTTTGCCATAATTTCAACTCCTTAATTGTCCTGATGATGTTATGTAATTCCTGGTCCTTGATACTGAGCATTAGCTTTAGGTTCTGATTTCGTGTGTGTTGGTTTCTTATATGTTTGATGTTAATTGATTACGACTTTGAATTATTTTTATGTTGCTTGCTTTGTTATTACTTACCAGTTTGATTGAAGTTTTGCAAAATGATAATACCATAATTATAACACCATATTTATGTTAAGAATTCAATATATTAAGAATTTATTGAATGAAAAATGAGAAAATGTAATACTCCAATCAAAAACATCTCATTTTTCTTCAAATTTTCTTCAGATTTTTTGACTGTTTAAAAGAATTAAAAACAAAAAAAGGTTAAACTAGAGGTACAAAAGTGGGGTTTAAACCTATTTAATATCATTATTATGTTGTTTCATTTTTCGAATTCTGTTTCTGGTTCGTGGCCGGTCAGACTAAGGTCTTTGGGTTCTGGTTCGATATTGTTTTGGTGTTTTTCGATGGGTTTTAGATATTTAGGCCCAGAGAGGTAAGTGAATATGAAATAGGAAATTAATTATCAAAAGAAATAAAATTTGGAAATAAATAATAAAAATAGATATTAATGAACTTGTATTATAAAAAATTTAAGAACTT